TTTAGGGTGGTTCGACTCATAGAGGCCAACTTTCGGTCCGAATTTGAAATTTATAGCTTAATATTAAAGGGAGTTAGATTGACTTGAAATTTGAACATTTTCCCCGCCATTTTATTTTAATTTTTATTCCATAATGCGTTCTTTCTCCAAGAAAGACACTTGATTTTAAACATAGAAAACTTTTCGCCAGCTAAAATATCGTGAAAATATTGTAAAAGGATTGAAAAAAATAATATAATATAAATAAACTAATTTTCCGGGATTTTTTGAGTTTTTAAGTATTATTTGAAATTTCGCGAATTAAAAAAATTATTTTTGTATATAGGATTCTTTAATATATCGAAAAAAACATTAAATAAATAATATAATGCAAAAAAAAAGATATAAATATAAAGAATTTTGAAAACTTTTCTCTGCAGGGGATCGAACCCGCACCCCATAGTTTAAGGCGTAAGTCACTAGCGCGCGGACTTAGCCGTTGAACCACGTTTTCATTGGGATCGGGCTACTACTTAGCTTCAAGTATCCTCTCCTGTTGAGCTAAACAAAAGACTTAAGGGGCCTTTGCAACCCCCCTATTTGGTTTATAAAATTCTTCCTTGGTAGGGTGGTTCGACTCATAGAGGCCAACTTTCGGTCCGAATTTGATAATTGTAGCTTAATTTTAAAGGGAGTTAGATGGACTTGAAATTTGAACATTTCTCCCGTTACTTTATTCTATTTTTTATTCCTTTATGCGTTCTTTCACCAAGAAAGACACTTGATTTTAAACATAGAACACTTTTCGCCTGCTAAACTATCTTGAAAATATTATAAAAGGTGGGAAAAAAATAATATAATATAAATAAACTAATTTTCCTGGATTTTTCGAGTTTTTAAGTATTATTTGAAATTTCGCGAATAAAAAAAATTATTTTTGTGTTTAGGATTCTTTAATATATCGAAAAACACATTAAATAAATAATATAATGTAAAAGAAAAAACAAAAGAAAAAAAAGAAAAAATTTTAAAAATTTATCTCTACCGGGGATCGAACCCGCACCTCATAGCTTAAGGTGTAAGNAACACATTTAATAAATAATAAAATGTAAAAAAAACAAAAGAAAAAAATATTAAAAATTTTAAAAATTTATCTCTGCCGGGGATCGAACCCGCACCCCATCGCTTAAGGCGTAAGTCACTAGCACGCTGACTTAGCCGTTGAACCACGTTTTTACGGGTATCGGGCTAGTGCTTAGCTTCAAGTACCCTCTCCCGTTGAGCTAAACAAAAGACTTACGGGCCTTTGCAACCTCCCTAATTGGACTATAAAAATCTTCCTTTTTAGGGTGGTTCGTCTGATAGAGGCCAACTTTCTTTCTAAATTTGATAATTGTAGCTTAATTTTAAAGGGAGTTAGATGGACTTGAAATTTGAACATTTCTCCCGTTACTTTATTTTATTTTTTATTCCTTTATGCGTTCTTTCTCCAAGAATGACACTTGATTTTAAACATAGAACACTTTTCGCCTGCTAAACTATCTTGAAAATATTGTAAAAGGTGGGGAAAAAATAATATAATATAAATAAACTAATTTTCCTGGATTTTTCGAGTTTTTAAGTATTATTTGAAATTTCGCGAATAAAAAAAATTATTTTTGTGTTTAGGATTCTTTAATATATCGAAAAACACATTAAATAAGTAATATAATGTAAAAGAAAAAAAGAAAAAATTTTAAAAATTTATCTCTACCGGGGATCGAACCCGCACCTCATAGCTTAAGGCGTAAGTCACTAGCACGCTGAATTAGCCGTTGAACCACGTTTTTACGGGGATCGGGCTAGTGCTTAGCTTCAAGTACCCTCTCCCGTTGAGCTAAACAAAAGACTTAAGGGGCCTTTGCAACCCCCCTACTTGGTTTATAAAAATCCTCCTTGGTAGGGTGGTTCGACTCATAGAGTCCAACTTTTGGTCCGAATTTGAAAATTATAGCTTAATATTAATGGTAGTTAGATGGACTTGAAATTTGAACCTTTTTCCCGCCATTTTATTTTATTTTTATTTATTTCCATTTTATTTAAACCCAATCCTCTGTATCGTGAGAGAGATGAGCTGAAATTATTGGGCTATGGTGAAAGTAGCTAGCAAAGAAAAAAATCAGCGATTAAGGACTAAAACAAAAAAAAGTATTTTACTGCCTGGTTTTCAATGGACAAAGCAGCGAACTACAAATATGGTGCGCCAGTACCAACACCTTCGGAGAGCATCAAATATTGTAAAGTACTCATTAGAAAAAATACCATCAGAGATAGGTAAGTAGGTTTTTTTATTTATGTCGCACTAGAGCTGCACAATGGCTATTGACGACGGTCTGTCGCTGAACGTAGGACAGAATTTCATTGTATGGAAGGGACTAGATGCAACATTTTCTTGATTAACAGACTTTACCAGAAAAGATTTCTATCTTAAAGGACATCGCAGCAAGGTGTGTTAGGTGTATTCTGTAAAATATTTGTTTAGTAAAGTTATATAGGCCCAAACTCTATTTCTGGCTGTGAATTATTGGTGTGAATTTTTAGGCATTCATTACTCTGTAAATTGCATATTTGCAGTATGTTTATCTTTCATCGAATAAATCATAAAACGGAAGATTTTAAAAATGTTGCTTTTATGATTTTCTGATAAACATTTTATGTAATTCTATATCGAAATAACTTTTACTTAAGATTTGTGTATATTTTTATTTTAAAATCTATATATTTGAATTTATATTATAACTACACAATTTTTGTCTTTATTTTAGAGAAAAAATTAAAATTCTTCGAACTCCTAATTACTCAGTCAATAAAAAAAAAATAAAAAAATTGTCTCAATTATAAGCTTTTTAAAATCAAAATATGCTTTTAAAGCATAAATGTGTTGCGATTAGCATTTGCATTTTTTAAAAATCATGTATTCCTTTTTAGTTAATAATATGAACATAAAAAGAACTATATATACTTTCAGTTAAATTAGTAAAATTCTCTTATATGATATTTATTGACTATCTAACTTAATGAATAAATAAATAATCTGATAAAAAAATTTGGTCATTTATCTAGACTAAATTTAATAAAATTAGTGAATAGAACTAACTTAATGTGATCATACTTTTTGAAGTAATATGTTTTAAATTTAATTATATATTAAAAGCCTACAAAAAGTGATTATGTAACTACAACGCAATAAAACTTTTTATAACATAAAATATTTCATTGTAAAAAATACACATTACTGAGATGAACTTTCGCAGATTTTGTTTACTCATTATTATGGTGAACAACATTGGTTACGCCTAAGATCTCCAACACATACACGATTGTAATTTTTTTTTTGAAGAACAAGAGAAAGTAGATCGTTTACATAAATTTGAATCAAAAACACCTCTCTTCCAAATCTAATTTTTGAGATGGCTTATCAGGGACGCGGGTAAGGGAGGGGTAAGGGGGTTCAAACCATAGAGTTGAAATACTAGGAAAATACCTACTATCTCAACTCTATGGTTCAAGCACCCCGATTTTTACAATCGGGGTCTTGCAATATTTTCTCAAACTATTAATTTTTTATAATAGTTTTAAAAATACTTATTTGGGGAAAATTATCGACAATTTCAACCTTAATCTATGTAAAGGCACCCCTCCATAAAATCGAGTTACCATGTCTTATATACTAGTGAATAGGAATTATATTTTTGTAGTGGTAGATACACTGCAGTACTCCCCCACCAGAATTATATCTCTGATAGAATTCGATGAACTGATACCGCTAGTTGATTCATTGCTGTTTTGTGAGAAGCCGGAAGAGATGTATTAAGTTCACCGTACTTTCTGCTGATCGTGAGAGCTGTATTAAGTTCACTGTCGTGGTTGTTCCTGTGTTGCCATTAGCATTCGAGTGTATGCAGGCCAACGTTGCGTGTGATCGAGACTGAGTAGCTGCAGTGCAAGGAGGTGGATAATGTTGTAGTCACAAGTAGCAAGTCAACTTTTCAATGTGAACCATCTATCGAAGTAGGTGTGTTCAGATCGAAGTGGGCGTTATTGTCGGGGTGGGAGTGCGCACATCACGTCCGGGTCACCAATGTGGGGGAAGTTGTTATCGATAATGTACATCTATGACAAGTTACCCCGGTTTTGTGCTATATGGGATATTATAAAATAATCCGAGCCCTAAATTGTAATTTAAACGACTTATTAAAAAAAAGCTAACAAATCATCCTAAAATAATTTTACTTCATGGTAGCTATTGATTCTCAAGAAATTTCAGAAAGAATTTTACCAACAAAATTCAGTTTTTCATAGTGATTGAACTATGACTTTAATATTTGTTTTATTATTTAAGCTCTGTCCGTGAAAGTAGTTAAACATTACTCAGATCTTGAAAAAGATATTCTTAGAACGTGGAAGAAAGTAAGATTTTATTCATTCCTTTCAGTAACTTCCTATGAATGATCTATTTTCGGTGATCATTGAAAACTACCATTACAAAAAGAATCATTCAGAATTGTTTTAAAAATTAAAGCGTTTAAAAAATAATTTGTTACATCTAGTAGATCAGCTCAAGTAAGATCTATTCATTAAGATAAAACAGTCAGACTGTAAGTTTGAGATGAAAAAAATGAACTTCTCCCATAGAAATTGAGACGTAGATTGAAGCTGACAATGGTGCAATGGGATAAAGGAAATTTGTATCCTTATGTAGCTAAAATTAAAAACCCCGTTCTTTCCGGACAGCGTGTAAATGTCGAATGAGAAAAAAAGACAAGAATTTACGAACACCAAAAGTAATTAAAAAACGCCGGGGGAACGGAAAAAAAAAGAAATGCTGAATACGATAACGATGCCAACGATGATAAAATAAGCTAATAAGATTTATCTATTAATTATTAGCAGCGGCGGCTAAGCAACGTCCATTTTCTTTTCATTTTATAAAAAAAAGGAAGATAAATGCATTGTTTTGCATTTTTATTACTCTTTAAGTTCGTAAAGTTTGATTGCTGCAATAAGTAGAGGTATCCAGAGACTACGAGTTAATAGTTGAAAATTTTAAAGGGAGAACCAACGGCTAATAGAATGACAAGAGGGTCACGTGACAAAAGCATCATTTAAAGAGGCAAATGGCGTTTACAGATGGGGTTATGTTTGTTGAGTTCTTTTTAAATCATGAATGAAATAGTCTTATCTGTCTTTTTTGAAGTGTGATACGTTATATATACATTGTAATATGTATGAAGCAGCTGATGATGAAGAAAAATGAGTTGTATTTTTTCTAATAAGCTCTTAAAATAGTGTTAGAATGTCGGCATCGCACGTGTGTTTGTATACATCTTTTGGATGTTGACAGGATAAAAGTTTTAACTGAACTGTAGACCCAAAACACGGATTCATATTCTTGTTTATAGTGATTAAAGTTAATACACTCTGAAGGACTCTGTATTGGCTGAAAAACATTCATTACCATACAACAGTTGTATTATATAATGTGACTGTTTCAGAGGGAACTGTCAAATATGTCTTTCTGAAGAAGATATTAGTAATTCAATTATATTATTTAATTTACAGTTTTTTTAATAACACTTTTTGATAAGGATTGTGTCATAATTAAGAACCTAATTTATTTACTGACCAATTGAACAGTTGTATTACTTTTAGATACATAATATCTGACTTCACATCTTGCACAAGTCATAGTAAACAAGTATTGTTAGTAGTTTTTGGAGAACTATGTGTAATGTTGAGGTTGTTGTAAATTGTTTTAAGTTCAAATTTGAACATTATCAGTAAATGCAATGATAGTAAATTTTAACTAGAAGCTGTTTTATATTCGAAGCTCTCTTCAGCCAAAATTATTATAACTATGGTTTTAAATTTATATTAGTTTTACAAATTTTGAATTTCATTGATTCTTAAGCTATTAATTTCAGCATATAGCAAAATTCTAGCAAAGAAGCACCATAAATATGATCAATATTCAAGATTGAAATATTAATTTTCAGTTATCTGAGATGATGAAATTTTTATCTGTAAAATGATAGTTTCATGGGGGACATGTGGTGATCTGTCGCGCCAACTACAATCGCCAAGATGTCAAATAGAATTTGAACTTGCAAACAAAAAAAAAAAAAGCTTAGATGTTTGTGTGAGAGTGGGTACGAGTTATACCTTTCGAGTTGGTCCCTTTTTATGATGCTTTTTTTAGTTTCTCGTGGGCCGCTGCCCGGAAGTTGCCGAAACTTGGCGATTATTCTGCCACAGATCATGATATGGAAATCTCCCCGTTTCGTGATCATAAATTTATTTATATTTGGCGAAGGGAATCTTTAAAGAAACATTAAACAATATGCGTGTTACCTCTTTATTTATTTCAAATCAAAATGAGAAAAATTAAACGCAGTTAGAACTATGGATGTAACGAATATTTGATATTTTTGGGAGAAATTTTAATAGATTTAATAAAGAATTAACTGATTCATGTTTTCCATTATAAATTATTATAAATAGTTTTTACACCCATTTGTCACGTTAACAAACTCGTTAATTTATGTTTTGAAAGAGAGGTATATTTCAGAACTAAAAACGAATTGTTTTCTGTTTCTCTTGATTTTTTAAATTTATTTTTCTCTTTTTTAGGGTTTTTATTATGATAAAATTTTTTAAAGAGCGTTCTAATGAACGTTATTCTTTTATGGTCCTTTTTTTCTACAAATACGGCAATGTGAAGAGTTAAATTAAAATTTTATCGTTAAGTATTTTCTCTAAAAATTAAGATGATTTTTGTTTTGGTTTTTATCTAGCTTTTATCTTTTTATAAAACTTGCGTTTTTATAGACGTTTTTGTTATGATGCTGCAATTAAGATGATTTCTATTAGACTTTAGTCTTAAATTTTTCTTTGATAAACGGTAATTAGGAAACTAAAATATTTAGCTTTAAATTTTCTTTGAAACGTTTAGATTGATTTTCTTTTGCTTATAATCTTTGTTTTTATAGATGTTTTTATAATCGCGCTGCAGTTTTAAAAGCATTTTCTGGTAAACATTATCTCTTTTAATGTCCTCTGGATAATTTTGTTTTCTGGGAAATATTATTTTTTAGCATTGAAGTTTTGTTTTAAGAATCAAGAGGATATTTTTTTTCTGTTATTTTTTTTTCTTTCTAACTTTACCACTTAATTTTTTTTAATAGCTGTAAGTATTTTATTTATCATAAATATTTCGAATTATTTTTATTATCTAAAATATTTCTATTAATGTTTTTTTCCTTTACCCCATGCCAATAATACAGCTAAGTTTTGATAATTTTTCAATAATGACTACATTATTTCTATAAAAAAAATATTTCTGAATGATTTTTAGAAAAATAGATATTGCTATTTTTCTAAATTATATTAGGTATTCCGTCTATTTTTTTCTCTGAATAATCTGCCAAATCACTATTAGTTACATCTGTAGTCATAACGTTTATTTTGATGGAATACATTTTTTTTTTCAAAAAATGCCCTTAATTGCATCAAATACCTTAAAACACCGCAAAAATAAATGTATATTTTTTTAATAATGTTTATTGTTTAAATGACAAACCTATGTTTCAGGATTTAAGTTGAGTTCAAAATTTGTCTAGTACGAAAGAAATAAGCAAAGACGTTTAGAAAATGTTCAAACAATTAGTAATTAGTGGTTCTGTACAAATCTAGAAGCCTTGATATGTCTTGTTTCTAAGCAAATTTTATTTTTTCTTTACTTATAGGATTGTCATTATTTGTTTATTTACTGTTCAATATAAATATTTCTCTATTTATGTATAGATAGCAACAATTGTAAAAATGCTTTCCTCGTTTTTATTTTTCAAAATACGGTTATATAGCGTGAAGGGAAAGTTATAAAGATGTGTTTTATATTTTTAGAAGTGTAAAAGGTGTATTTTTAAATTAAAAAAAAATTTTTTTTTGCTGTAGGTACCATCAATTTTAACACTATTCGATCTAATTGATAATCGTTAGTTTACTATATATTATATTAAGTAATATATAAATATTTTTTGTCATAATTTAAACTGCAAGAGTAAGTTATTGAACTAATGGTGCATGGATAATTGAAGCCTATTTTTCCTTCTAATAATTCACTTCAAATTATCGTTTAAATTTTTAAAATGGGAACAGAAAAAACTTAAATTAAAATGCGAACTTTTATATGAAGACTAAATGTATTTTTTCAAAAGAGAAAGATTCTGTGAGAGAACAGATGTTTCTGTACTTTAACAATGACTAACTTGATTTTTAAAAAATTATAATTTGTTCTCATTTTCCAATTATTTTGTTGTGTGTCTTAATGATTTCATTTTTGGTAATTCTGAAGATTTATAATGAAAAAACTGGTTTGTTTACATGTATGCACCTTTTTTTTTCATTTTTGTTAAAGAATTTTAATAAAATAAGTTTCAATAAAAAATAATACTATAATGAATGTTCACAATTATGGTTAAAGATGCTATTTTGTGACATTAATGCAAAACAAGAAACTGAAAGACCCTTCATATTAATTACCATCCCTTTATATTAATTACTTTTCTGGCCGAACGATGATAATTATTTCTTAGTGGCTCTGAACCAACAGACCCTATTAACTGAAAGAATACATTAATTTTTAGAAACAAAATGTCATGGTTGCAAAAGACCTACATACCTACCCAGTGAAACGTGGGCGGGTTGTACCGAGTAAAACTCACCCTAAATTGGGTTTTTCTAAAAAAAAAATTTTTTTATTCTCTGTTATATTAATGAGCTATTCTATTGAAATATATATGTAGTCTAGCCGAAAAAAATGAACCTATGGTGAAAAAACTAACAGTGTTTGGTGACTGGAAAGTCACCTTCCTGGCTAGATTTGACTGTATGGCCATTGATTAGTCAGCCTTTAATTCTCTTTCTACGCAAAAAAGAAAAAAAAATTACTCAAATGTTTTTTAAGATTAAAATATAAATAAAAAGTAATCCTGCGTTAAAATAAGTTTCAAATTGTGATGTATGTAAGTATCTTGTATTGTGATGTCAGAAGAAACTTTTCAGACTTTTGCACCAATTTATTTGTATTATTTATTAATTGCACTTTAATTACCTATATTTTAAGCCAATTCATAAAAATATACTTAATCATCAATATTAAAATAAGTTGATTATCCCTGCCCTCTCTTTTGAAAAAAGACCCAATAAAACATGAAAAACCCACCCGTGTTAGGTTTTCATGGAAAAACCTGGGTTTTTTGCAACCCTGCAAAATGTTCTATTAATCTTCCCACAGAAATATTCATCTCTATAAGAATGTAACTTTTATATTGTCTGCATTTGTAATTTATTTTATCTGTACAAAAGCGAATTTTTTTAAATGTCTTTCATATCTTTTTCAGTAGTATTTTCATCCCAGTTGGCATATTAATAAATCCAAGATAATGATACCATTGATCTTTAATTCATCTTGATAGCTGTATTTATGTATCCAGCCATGGGGAAATATTAGGTAATGAAATTCTAATTTATAGTAGACTAATGTTTATGTGTTATTCATTTATATGTCTGCCTCCATTTATATCTAAGTTTAAATTAGTATTGAAATCCTGTTAAATTTCATTTATTCATCACATATTCATTTAAATAATGTCTTTTTCCTTTTCATTTAAAGATACTGTGGTAAAATGATGTTTTTATCGTGAACGTTGTTTTAAATGCTGCTTTAGAACATTCAATCGTTAAAATTTTTTCTTTAATTCCTATGAAGTTTCTCAATTTTTATTTAAGTTGTGTTTGCTTTTTTTTTCTGATCAAATTTATCATTTGGCTAAGAAATTCTTTTTGGTGTATTTTTTTTTTTTTAAATTACTGTTTTTAAAATTTATAAAAAGAATTCAGATCAAGCAAATAGTTTATTTGTAGGGTGCGTATCATTTTTAAAAACTGCTTAAAGTTTCTTATTTTTGATTTACGTTTTTTAAAAGCCCTTAGAAGGTGCTTATTTTGTTCTGGGTATGTAAAAAGTACTTAAAAGGTACTTATTTTTTGTTAAAAAATCTAGCTACGCATCCTGATATGTGATAGGTATGTTTACAGTAATAATATTTGTAGTTTTTATTTTATGTTAATCTCTTTGTAAAAGTAATAATTTTTTTTGAGAAAATTAGAGAAGTTCAGCAGAAACCATTAATTGTTTTCCGGTGCTTTGCTTCCCTCAGGATTTTTTTTTTTTACTTATTCAGGACTTTTATCTCTCGTCAGAATTATAAATATGTGTTTATCAATCAGATTTACTTGAAAAACCTGTAAAATATTCCTGTTTCATCTGGACTAGTGAGGATAGTAATTCAAACTATTGATATAATTTTTACAAATTCAAAATTGGGGCGCTTAAACAATTTTTTTTACCAGTTCGTTTCTGATCCAATTTGTTTCTGACTGGCAATTAGTCTGTTTTAAATCATTAATTGCCTAAAAAAATGCTAAAAATGATTTAGATCACAAGGAATTTAACCTCAGTGGAATGCATATCAAATCTGAACAAATCAGTGATCAAACACAAAAATGCAATAAAAAGCCAGGAATAAAAATATTATACAACAAAATTAAAACTTTTTACAGCACTTCACTGTGAAGTTTCAAAGTCTGGGTCATAATAAAAAAGTGATTGTTAGAAATATTTGAGTCAGTTGTTTAAATTAATTTAATAAAAATGTTTTGCTCATAATTTACTTTGAACATTCAATTTTATAATTTGTTGAAAATTTGATTTTCTTTTAAGTTTGAACTCAAAGTTCAAATCCTGCCCTAAATACACACAATCCACCATTATTAAGTTAAAAATAAGATAATGCTGTCCGGACTATGTTGAGGTCAGGGAACTGGCCCTGCATCAGAAAGCAGGGTTGCCACTCCACAGGGAGAACAGGAAAAACCTGGAAAGCACAGGGAATTTCAAAATCACCAAATTTAACAGGGAAAAGGCTAGGATTTTTGAGTTTTTCTTTACAAACTGGGAAAATACAGAGAATTTGTTTTTTATTTTGGTCTTTAAAAAAATAGTATCCACTTAAAGCGCAATCTATGAGATATTTAAGGAAGACATTTCAGCTATATTCAACTATTTCATTTACTATAGCATTATTTAAGCATGGTTCAGCTGTACCTTTTTTACTTTGAAGTTTTTCCAGCAATCAAAACTAGTATAGTTAGCCCAATATAGCTCCATTCAAGAGCACAGTGATAGTGTTTCCTTTTAATATATTGTGTGTAACACATACAGGGAAAACACAGGGAATTTTTTTCCAAATTTTAGTGGTAACCCTGGAAAGGTGCTGGGTTTGAGTCCTGGACGAGGCATGAATGTTCTTTTGTTTTCTGTTCTATCTGTCCTTACTGTGGGAGCAACATTGGCCCATCTAATAGGTGACCCCTGAAAGAGTTGCCATTTGTAAAACATGTGTGGGCATTGGTAATAAATTTTAAAGAAAAAATTAAAAATTCGAGAAAGATTTGTTGTCTGTAAAGTACAGTAATTATTTTTTTATTTCAAAGAGTAAAAAATGCTAGTGATATGGCTATAAAGTAGAAAAATTATTTCTTATTGAGCATTTATTGATTTTTAATATATGTGTTTCAGGTGTTTGCATTTCAAAGAAAATGTCAACAGTTCCTGGTGCTAGAAATCATTCACTAGATGAAGATGAATTAAGAAACCTTGGTGCTTCTTCCAGACTCTTGGATGTTAATGATGTCACACGCTCTGATTGGATTGATACAGCTTCCACAGATAAACCAGGTTATTTTTTTAGTTTTTTATATAAAAAGTTTAATTTTTTTATTGTGTTACTCTATGCTTTTCAGCATTTTAAGCTTTTTGTGCTGGGTTGTCAAAAATATATTCACGTTAAAAATATATCGTGAATGAAATTATAATTGTTAATTTTAATTATTAATGTGAAGCCATGTCGGCTCAGGGGATAGAGCATTTACCTTCCAACGAAATATATACACAATCTGGTTCAAATCCCAGCGATGGCTGGTCGATACGAATTCCGCATCAGGCTCGCACCCACCATAGTGCTGGCATGAAATATCCTCAGTGGTAGACGAATCATGAGTTAGAATCCCCTTGCCTACAGGCTAACGGTGGGAGGTTTTCGTGGTTTTCCTCTTGTAATGCGAATGCCATCAAAAAGGTCCTCCACAAAGGCAAATTTCTCCCAATACTTGATCTAGGAGTTCCCTTGCCTTCTGGATTGGGTTCCTTTATAACAATTGTGAAAATTTGAATGTTACCTAGTGTGCAAATTCATTAGGAATGTCAAATAGGTTCTACAAATTTAATGTTTTGCAATATTTTCACATTGTTTAGCCAACGATGATTGCCATGGAATGACACAAATAAGTTTTGTTTTTTAAAAAAAAAGATATATGGCTATCCTCCAAGCTGTTTTTTAATATCTCTCATGTCACTGAACTTGACCATTATTCTGACAGATACTGATATAAATATGTTTGTGTATGATGTATTTTTCGTGAGAGCTTCAATTTAATTATATGAAGATTAACCGCTTCCTTCGCCAATTTTTGTGGGGGAAATTTAATTAATAAATACAAGGAATTAAAACAAAACATAATATGCAAGTCTTAAGTTAAAATATAAATTTTTTTATGCGTAAGAAACATTTAATTTAACATCAGTTTACACTATACCGAGTTATCTCAGACAAAAGGGAAAGGAAAGTTATCTCAGACAAAAGGAAATATCAGTCTTTGATAGTTTTTAAAACAAGGGACAACACAAAGTGATACTTTCCAAACGCCAATTAAGTGATACACCATTTTTTTAACTCTTTTTTTTTTCTATGTAAATTCAGCAACCGTCGTACAATCTCACAAAATTCATACAATCCTACAATCCATTCATATGAACACACAAAACGCGTGTGTAGTCCCCCAATCCAACAGCAAAACTAATCAATAAAACTGGGCAATCACAGCAGATTATTCTTATTTTACTTCCGGCCGATTAAAAACTTGATAAAACAAAACGTACTGAAAAATTCTGCTACGCCAGAGTTTTCCCGGGCTAATAAATATTGGGAATATGGTTAATCGGGAAATGGTTAAGGATTTTTTTTTAATTCTTGGATGAAACCGGACATTCGATTCCATTGTTATGTATATTTGAGATCACCTTCTTTCTTTTTAATATTCTCGCAACTTTAAATTTATTTAAAAGGTGAATGAATTATATATTTCTGGTAAAATTAGTGAGAAATAAAATTTTGTTTAGTCCAAAGGATAATTTTCTTGCAAAAAAATTCATTCCAATTATTAACTATTTATTTCAGTTATTGCATCTCCAATACTTCGCAGACACAATTCTGTACCTGCCGAAATGCCCAGTAGTACTGCACTTTTGAATTCTGTGCCTTCTCCACAAAGTGGTCCATTGATGTCCCCCAATCAGTATGGCTCCATTGACCCAGTACATGACCTACCACCTGACCTCTTACAAGCTGGTTGGAGGAAATTCTGGAGTAAACGGGAGAACAGGCCTTATTTCTTTAATAAAGTAACAAATGAATCTTTATGGGAAATGCCACGACTTGGCCACGTAAGTATGCTACATTATTAAATATCCATCGCCTCTTCAGTTTTATCATACAATCGGGATGTACAACCTTTTTGAGTGAAGGGTCGCTTGCACAACAGGTGGATTAAAGAAGGGGCGCACGCATATTTACTCATGTTAGCGGCAAATATAATTTTTGTATAAACACTAGGGTTCTAAGCAGTTTTTTATCAGTAAACTTAATTACATATTAGCTGAAAATTAATAATTTTAATGAGTTGAATTTATTTAAAAATGAAAAAAAACTGATGCTTTTTTTGTATATAAAAAATATATATACAGGCGCCTGTCCTCGACAAATTTACTACCGTTTAGCGGTACCCTCCCAAATTCAACTTTAGGAAAAACAGTATGTTCACAGTTTACTTTTTCTTCAAATTTTATTTTTGTATCCCGTAAGAAACGATAAATCCATATTTTTATGTTGATTTAATATAATTTTTAATTTTTGCAAAATAGGTCCCTCTCAGAAAAATTCAGAAAGACCCCATATGTATGTGTGTATATATATATATATATATATGTACAGGGTATCCACGCACCTGGAAAGTCATGAATTTCAGTATTGAGCAAAATTTATCATGATTTTAACTATTTTTTTAAAAAAAAAATCATGGATTTAGATTGCCGAAAAATCTAATTTTTAAAATGGAATCCCCCCCCCTCCTCCAATTTCATCTTGTTCCGAATATCTGAATTCATAACTCAGTCATATTTTATTAGAATATAAAATGTTTTTATCATGTTCTTTAAAAATTATGGTGTTCTTTCAAAAAATGAAAGAAAAAACATAATTTCTAGAGCGAATTATCTTTTAAACCTCTGTGAGTCAAGAATTTTTATTAATTTAAAATTCTAGCCGAAGCAAATCAGTCATTGGCGAATATTTTTAATTCCGAAATGAAAACAGAAAAATTGGGAGTATTTCTTTCCTTTCTGATAAACAAGAAAAGTACCTTTAGAATAAAATTCTGCAGAAAAAAAGAAAAAAAATTTATTTGCTTTTGTATTTTTTTCAGCTATTTTATTGTTTCAACTCTTTCTTTACTCTGTTTTTTAAATTTAAAATTCATAAATATAAAGATGCATAGTATATAAGTTTTGGTTATACCTATCACTTTAATTAATGCTATTATAATGCTTTTTTAAATTTATTGTTGTGTTTTTGTAGGAGAAAATAGTAACTTCGTTAAGTCATAGAAAATTCTTGGAATTANTGTGTTATATATTTATGTAATATTGGAAAATTATCTTCCTTTTCTGTAAATCTATTTTTCTCACATTGAATCAGAAAAAAAAGGTTTTATATTTTTTTAATTGCTTTTACTGTTACAGTACGATCCATCAACAGACCCATTGGGCATTCAGATGTCACCTGACCCTCCTCACACGCCACACACTCCACTCAGCATTCCACCTTTCCCCAGAATCGGAGATAAAAGAAGAGCATCTGATGATTGCATCATGCCCCCTGCTGCTAAAAAGTTTTTTTTGAGGTAATTAAAATTTTATTTCATTTATAAATTTTAATGCACATCACCATCAAAATTGGCCAGACAACCCGATAATACTGATTAATTGACAGGAGTGATTGTATTCCGGGTTTTTCGTATAATTCTTCCGGGTCTAAATACTATGAGCGGGGCATGTGATTTGTGTACAAATATAGCAGAGTTCCGTGTAAATCAAGATTCAAGATCATCGGTTGTGAACTTTCGCGTATCAAAAACTTATATCCAACAAAATTTTGAAACTTCTAAATCTCGTTAACGAGGCGTTTACATACATTCTTTCGCTAATTACGCGAAGAATTACGTCCTACGTGATTCTTTCGCCAATTTGATTCTTTTGGTTTGGCAGATTTCCGCCTTTTTAAATATTTGGAACTGCGCCAGAATCTGCTAATATTTGGATTCTTATTCACGCAAATTTAATATCAAACATCAATTTTCGTACTTACCTGATTTAAAAGCTGCGCATTGCAATCATATTCATGTGATTTAAGAATCAAATATCACGATTTTCGTTTACGCGTTTTTAAAACCATATATCACGATGGTTTAAAAATGCAATATCGCGATTCATATTCACAAAATTTTTAAGTCTAATATCACGATTCATGTTCGTGCAATTTTGAAACCCAATATCGCGATTTTTGTAAATAGTAGGTTTTTTCTCGAATTAGTTACCCTAAAAGTGTGATATTCTGCATTAGTAGGTAATTTAATTATAAATGTTAGTTCTAAAAGTTATGCTAAATATGAAACATGTATGGTATATAAATTGATTTTGATTTTTTGCACAAAATTTTCAGGGTTTTTCACTTTGTGCTCCAATCACCCCTGAATTGATTTTTTTTTTTTAAATTCAGCCTGTACGAAGAGGGGACATTCAACTAGTGCTAAAATAAATTATTGAAATTTTTTATTTTATGTAAGCTACTTTTATTAAACACTGTGGAAACTTTCAATTTTTGTTATTCTGTTTTTGCTTGGCATTTTTAAAGAATTGTTTTATTAAATAGTTCAATACTGCCTTATTATTTTTTTCCTTACATGATATAGGTAAATAAAAACTAAAATTAAATTATTCATTATTATGTTATAAAACTGAAAGCCAAGTTTTGCTTTAAAAAATTAAAAGTCAAATTTTTGTAACTTAAGGATGTCAATATCTTTTAAATCATTGTGCCATTATATAAAATGTAATATATTAATGATTGTTTTCGTCAGGTCATTAAATATTGTTGCACTTTTCTGCAGTATTAGACATCTGATGTATTGTAATTTCAAAGCAAATGCTAGTTATTTTGTACTGAATAGTAAATAATAAATTGAATTTAAATACGCAGATGTTAATTAAGGGTAAAAAATTAATAAGAAAAAATGCCAATAAAGGTTTTTAAATGAAAACTGGCCATCTTGCCCATTTTTTTTAAAGCCAGCTTTTTTGCAACTATTATTAAACAATCCAACTGATTATTTGTGTGATCGCATTAAAAAGTTAATTAGTAAATACAGACTGTTATGCTGACATTTTGCATGATTTGTGCATTTTTAGATATGTAATTTTATTTATTCTTAACTTTTACTGTAAATTTTTGCTGAACTTTAATAGCTTATTTTATTAGTTTATTTTCCTTCAAAAATTTATATGAACTAGACTGACTTGCCTACTTTCTCTTTCTTTCTTTTTTAAAAAAAATTATTTGTAAAGCATCTGTACAAAGAATTTCTCTTTGTAACAGTAATCAAGTCTATTTTTTAAAATATATATTTAGAGAATTTATTATTTTTAGTGGTTATTGGGATTTGGAGGTCCCTACGAATGTTGTTATTTGGGAACGTTCTCCCTCACTGTTGCCACCACCACATCCAGAAGTGGAGCAATACAGAGCTGTCCTGGTGGTAAAGTTACGCCAACAGTATCAAGAAATGTGCCACTCTCGAGAAGGTAAACTTTTTTTTTTAACGTATTTTTAAAAATGCCCTAAAATTTAATATTTTAAAATTTCCTTATATCCAACTTTTGCAACATTTAACAATGTTTAAATAATTCATTCTAAGATAATTACAATGCACTTCCTACTTATCATCCATGACTGCATTTAATTCTGTTTCATTTCACTATTAAATTATACAAATATGCTTTCAAAACAATATAAAAGCAATATATTATATGTTAAACATGTCAAACAGAAATGTAATTAATTCATGCTATCTTTTTACGATATATTTCATGGAATTATTTAAAAAAGGTTATTATTTCATAGTCTTATTCGAATCCCAGACTTGGCAACGTATTTTGATAAACAAGAACATTCTTTCTTGAAAAAGAAACAACTGTATGACGTTGCAAGAGCATTGGATTTGATTGGACTACTAAAAATTGCACTTCTTAGACTAACGTGCCCTTAACAAATCAAATAAGAGATAAAGAATTTTTAATTTTGCTTCGCTGTAGAAGAACAATCATTTGCAAGAAACAATATTTATTAACAATATTAATGAATTCGAACAGAAAAGCGTATATTTGTTATGATTTATAGATATAACTTTATTAATTCTTATTAAGGGTTGCCACTCCACAAGAAGAACAGGAGAAACCTGGAAAATACAGGGAATTTAAAAATCACCTAAAATAACTGGGAAAATGCAGAAAAATTTTTGAGTTTTTCTTTAGAAACTGGAAATTTTGTTTTGTATTTTCGTCTTTTAAAAAATGTTAACCACTCAAATTGCAATCTATGGGATATTTAAGGATGATATTTCAGCTATATTAAACTAGTTAATTTACTATAGCAGTATTTGTTTTAAGTATGTTCAGCTGTACCTTTTTTCTCTTAAGTTTTTTCAGCAATTATAACTGGTATAGTTATCCCATTACGGCTCATACAAAAGCACAATGATTCTGTTTTTTTTTCTCTTAATATATTGTGTATAATGTGTACAAGAGAAACACGGGGAATTTCTCTTCCAGCTTTGAGTGGCAACCCTGGTAGTTGATTATTCAATAAGATTTGTTTTCCTTATTTCAAACGATTTAGAAAAGCAAACAAAAAGAAGGCTGTGCAACATCCTTTCAAGAGTTGATGTTGATATACTTGCGTGCTGGGAGTTTGACATTCATTTGGCATGCACTTAGACACTATCAAGCTTTCTCCATATGGATTATGGTTTTTTCTTAACTTGCAATAGATTATAAGTCTTCTTGCTGTCTCTAAATGTGCATAATTCTCTGCAACAACCAAACAAAATTACCTATGTAGGCGAATGAGAATTTGCCTTGAAGGGTTACTCCCATGGTATATCATCCTCTTAAGGTTAAATTTATTTTCAATAAAACCCTTCCATAGTAATTGAAACAAAATTGTTTCATTCCTTTAGGCATTGATGCACCCAAAGAATCCCTCAACAGGTGGTTCATGGAGAGGAAGATTCTTGACAAGGGGAGTGATCCCCTCTTCCCATCTGTTTGTTACCCTGAAGTGTCACAGTCTATGTTCAGAGAGATCATGAATGATATACCCATCAAGTTGGTGAGGCCAAAGTTCTCTGGGGATGCCCGTAAGCAACTCTCGAAATACGCGGAAGCCGCAAAGAAAATGATTGAGTCCAGGTATTCCATTTCATTAACATTCTCATTCTTAGTAAGGCTTCCTTTTTATTTTGGAAGTTTCATCTAAATACACCATTTAAATTTCTAGCAGCTGATTTGTGAAAGAAATGTTCCTACTATGTCAAAAAATGTTTTTGATGCCCTTTCAATTAATTTTATGAAATATTTTTTTTTTAAGCAACGGATCAAAGAGTACTTTTTCGTCTAAGCATAATTCGCCTATACATGTGGCAAATCTAGGACAGCCTGTTTAGATCGTATTGTGGGGAGAAAAAAAATTCATACACTTTTAAATCATTTTGAAAATTTTGCACAACACTAACTGCCAAAAAAGAATCAATGAAAAAGTATGTAATATTTAGAATTAAATATTCACAAATAAATTGCATAAAAAGCAGTTATTTAGTTATGCAATTAGAAAATCGGTTGTCGTAATAACATTGTGGTTAAAATAATGAGAGCAAATTTTTTGAAAAATAGCTTGGATTTCTGATAAAATTGGCTGAAACAAAGTGCGTCAAAAAAGTGGTGATTTGAAACTTTTGTGTCGTTATAATATAGTAAAAGTATGGAATTTTTAAAATCACATGGCAACCGTATCAATAACTGCCTTTAAGAAATATCAAAAGTTATTTAGATTTACGAAAAAAGTGAAATTAAATGTGCAATTTATTACTCATGAGTCGCAATATCGTAGTAAATGTATTACAGTTTTACAAACCGTATGAAAATCGGTTGTTATAAATGCCAAAAAACACTATCGCAACATCATTTGGATTTATTGGCATAAATAAATAAAGTCGAAAAGTGATTTCTCAACTTCGCGTATTGTAATATCATATTAAAAATATTGGAATTTTTATAACCAAGTAAAATTTCGTAGCAATAACCGTCAAAAAATCGATGGAGAAACAGCATTGACTATCAAAAGAATTAGTACAATTTGAACACATAAAGTGATAACTTAAATGTACAATTCAAAATTTACGTCATTTTTTTTATTTTTCAAAAAAAAAAAAAAAGAAGAAAGGAAATTATTGTGTTTAGAAGTCTATTTCTTAAAATCTATTTTTATCAGTACTTTTTGCCTTCAGATTTCAAATTCAAAGTATAAGTTTTTTTGTGCATTGCATTTTTTATTATCTATCTTATATTAATAAATTAATTATTAATTATTCTGATTTAAAGTCCCGCATTGAAAATCAGACTGATTTGGGTCTAAAATGACGTTTTCATGTCTTGTGATATATAATAAATTTTGTGGTTCTTATTATTGATGTGCCAAGCATATTTTTCATAATCCTTGTTTAATTACTTTGTTTTAAATACTAAAATTACTTGTTAATTATTGCCAAACTGACTATTTGATTTTAAACTAGTCTTTGTTGTAGTTTAAGAAGATATGCATGAACTTATTCTTGTATTTTCTGATTAATACTGGATAATTCAAAATGAATTTACCGATTACAAACAGCTATAACTATTTAATGTAAAATTATTTATTGATAAGATTAATAAAGAATGTAGATGAACTTCAAAATTTCATTGCTCAAGGTGCAGTGAAGCGAAATTCTGCACATGCCCGAGTTCATTAGTGAAAATGGCGAGTGCAGTGTAGAAAGCATTCTGCACGTTAGAATTTAACAATTGTCCTTCTGTTATCATAGTGCTGAAAAGATTTCGTCAGTGTTACAATCAATTTCTATCAAAACAATTAAATTGTTACAATAAAAGAAATATTATTTTTATAACCGTCGTTGAACAGCCGACCCGGTTTTTTGGGTTTGCGACTGCTAATGTTCAACTCTGTAGCCTTGTAATTTTGAACCAATCCGGAAGACAAGGAAACTTCTGGATCAATATCCATCAGAGGTATGATTTGTAATGAGAACTTAGTGACTCGACAGATTTAATGTGCATCAGTCACCATTTACCACATGAGTTTTTGGCCGATGGGGATCGAGCCCACTACTTTTCGTACATGGACTCAGTGCCCCACCAACCAGGCTATCTCGGCCCTAATCAAAACAATTTTATTTTATTTTATAACCGTCGTTGAACAGCCGACCCAATTTTATGGGTTTTCGACTTCAAATGTTCAACTCCATAGCCTTGTAATTTAGAACCCAATCCAGAAGACAAGGGAACTCCTGGATTGAGTATTGGGAGAAATTTGCCCTTGTAGAACTTTTTGATGGAGCTAACCCGCATTTGCGTTACATGGAGAGGTAGATCATGAAAACCTCCCATGGTTAGCTTGACAGCAAGAGGACTCTAACCCATGATCCGTCTACCACTGAGGATATTTCACCTCTACACTGTGGTCGGGGCAAGCGGGATGCGAAATTCGTATTTACTGGAATTAGAACCCGGTTCGCTTCATTGGACGGCGAACGCTCTATCCCCTGAGCCATCGCGGCTCTAATAAATAAGAAAGCATTTGTAATGCGCTTGTGTCAGTAACTGGACAAATGCTTTCGAATGTATTTTGGGAAATGGACTACCGCCTAGATCAGGGATGGGCAAACTTTTTTGGTCGAGGGCCAAAAATCGAGAAAAATTTTTTTGGGTGGGCCAAATAAAACTTTCAAAATTTAAAAAAAAAGCAATATACAAGTTTTAATTTAAATATTTAGTGAGATGAATAAAATTGTGATTTCATTTTTAAAAGTTCCTTATATTAAGTTTCGAAGTGAGATGTGCTTATTTTAAGGAACAAGGCTAAATGCTTTTCTATTAGTCTACTTCTGAAATGATTTTTTCTAAGGTTCATAGTTGAAAACTCCTGTTCACATGTATAAGATTAAGCAAACATAGCGCTGATTTTCTGGGCATGAAATATTAATTTTAAGAAACTAGCTTTTGGTAATGATTCATAAAACTTTGGCACATTTAGAAACAACTGCTTCAGATGATTGTTAGATTGTCCGCTCGTTGGATCTTAAAATGCGCAGTCTGCCAAATGTGAAGTACAATTTACCTGTATTAGATTCCTCGAGAAATACAAACCCTAGTTAGAGCCAATCTAAGGCTATTCTATGAAGAACTTCTGCTTTCAACATTTTACCAATTAAAGCTGTTTGTGCTAATTATTTCCATCAATTTATGTTTTGTAGAACAAAAATAGCGAAGGTAAAAAGGTCATCGGTACTTTGTTAAAAAAGGAAAAACATGAATAATTTTAAATAGTTGACAAGAAAATGGATGTATATTGTTTATATTTGCTACTGATCGGCAAATTGAAATTCTATCCGCGGGCCGGATAAAACCTTCCGGCGGGCTACAGTTGGCCCGCGGGCCGTAGTTTGCCCATCCCTGGCCTAGATGGTGTCTGGGTGACCAAGGGAAGTTGCTTAGAAAAATCTGTGACGCATTTATACAAAATGTTGAAGTTCCTTCTACATTCTGTGTAAATTTTATCAATAAATAGTTATAGCCGTTTGAATCGCTATATTCGTTTTGAATTACCCAGTATTTAACAGATGTATCACTGACTATGGATTAGTAAAAATAGTATTTTTGATTTTATTATTGAATTTTTCAAAAATACTTTTAATTTTATCTCACGGCACTCAGTATGGTGCAAAAAGTTTAATCAAAAGACAATTCTATAATTTGTTTATTTTTCAGAAATATCTCCCCAGAGAGTCGTAAAATAGTGAAATGGAATGCTGAGGATGCTTTCCAATGGATTAGGAAAACTCTGAATGCTACATTTGATGATTATTTAGTATGTTTTTTTTTATTTTTCTTGCACAAGTGCTCTTTACTATCAATTGTTTGTGATTTTGATTGGAGTGTGCTTTGTTAAAGGTTAATTGTCAGTAAGCAAACATCTTCCTAAAACCAGATAAGTTCTTTTGAAACTTCTCCAATGTCTCCCTTTATTGATTGGCTTATAAAGAGAATTTTTTAGATTTTTTTCCTGTAATGTGCCAGTTTTTATTTTTTAAGTACTAAATGCTGTTAAATTATTTTTTTGTACAGGTTTTTATTCATTCCTTTTGTTTCATCTAGAAGCATTTTTAACTTTTCTGCAAGAGTGTTTCACGCATTTAAATCAAAAATACTTATTAAAAAAAGTTAATCTGCCACACTTTTACATTTGGCTTAATATTTTAAATAACAATTTAGCAAAAGAAGTATGGCACGTCCCTGACAGATCAGATTTTTCACCAACAGATTTCCGTTATAGTTTCGTTACTCCTACATCAATGACAATATTCTTTTCTATATGGGGAAGATAATTTTTATAAACTGGGCAAAATCAGAATCAAAAAGGTTTACTTGAATATTTACTTCAAAACAAGGACCTGAATTTAGAGCATAAAATTTAAAAAATTTTTTGAGATTTCAAAATTGATTATGCTGTAAAATTAAAAAAGTTGCAAAAAAAAAAAATTAATTGAAATTATAAGAATATTTTGTTTCATTTTATACAAAATTAGTCAAATATACCAAACGTAAAGCATCAAAATTGTGCAAATCCTATTTGCATTAAATAAATATGTTCTTATTTTTGTGTCAAATAATGTCTGATGAAATCCATTTCAATCATAAAAGTATATATATTTGTTACGTATATAAAATTGGTCTCCGTGTCTATTAACATTATATGGGATTTTTACTGTTTTAGTGTTTCATTCCTCAAAAATGAATTTGATTTTAGAGGAATGAAAAGCAAAACATTATTTAATATTTTAAGGTTGTAAGTATATTTAAAACAAATTTTAAAACTTTGAAAAAGTATTTAAAATACTGAAAAAGTTCTACAATCAAATCAAATTTTGGATCTTCAAGTGCCAATCAAAATCTCAACATCTAGTATTACTTTATTTTCCCAAAAATATGTTGCAACTTAAAAGAATAAATGAATAAAAAATATTTATAATATATATATATATATGTATATATATATTTATTTTAAATAGTTGACAAGAAA